TTCAATTGTTTTTTTTTTTATTTCATAATTAATCTTAGTATTGTTATATTAATGACTGAAGAAATATTACTTTATAATATTTAATATATAATATTTTTTTTGTAATATTTTTGTAATGATTTTAAATTATATAGATTTTTAAAAAAGGCATTAGGAATTATGATTAATCTAATATTGTTAAAATTATAAAATTATGATATTTTATGATTATGATTTGATTCTTTTTCTTTTTTTTTCTGTATAGTACTTCTTAGTTATATATAATTATGATTTAATTAAAACAACAATTTATTTGAAAATTAATTTTTTCTATGTTGAACGAAATATTGAAACTATTATTTTTTTTTAATAAAATTATAAAATTATGTTATAAAATTTTAATAGTTCATATGAAGTATTAAAAATGTTTGAAATGAGAAATGAATCTCGTGCCATAACACGTGAATGTTACTTCAGTGCTTGGGATACTATTTGGAATTACCTTTGGTCAAGCCACAATAGAGTCACGTGTACAGAACTGTCGCACATCTATATATTATCCCATATTTCCTCTGTCATATGCACATGACATTCTATGGATATCTTATACTATAATACGATTTACTTGAAAATATTTTCTTTTTTTGTTTTCCTTTATTTTATTGTGCTTTTTTTTTCTTGTTTTAATAGAAAACTATTATTAGTTCCTTATTAAATTCATCTAAATTTTTTTATTATATATTTTTATTGTTTTCAATATCACAATAAGGTTATCTTTTTAAAAACAATTTGATAAAAATATAATATATTGAAAAAAAGATCAGAATATTTGGAAATAATTAAATTTATTTTTATTTTCATAAAAATAACAATAAAAAATAAATACAATTCGAATAATTCAGAAGTAAATTGAATAAATTTTTATAATATAATACAAAAATGTAAAAGCTAAATATACTATTGTACTGTATTATACAATTGCGAATCTAATAAAGAGTACATATGAAAATGCTAAAATGCATGATCAATAATTTAACTAAGAAATCAAATATTTTATTTGATATCAGAATTTTTAATATTATATAATAATACAAGTGTTTAATTAAATATTTTTATTATAATAATTATAACGATATAAATTTGACTTTTGACTTTAGTAGTCATATACTTTGGTAGTACTGACATATAATTGCAATTTTAAAATTAGTGTTAATAAATTCAGTTAATTATTACAAATTGTTATTTATGAATTCAAGCTTTATTTTGCTTAAACCAACAGTGTTGTGAATAAAATATATAGTGAATTTATAATGAATTGTTTCTTAAATAATATTTTTAAAGTGCATCATATTCATCTCAATATGACGCATACAAGATGTCCTAAAAATGCATATATGTATGTATATTTATTTAAAATTTTTTTGATATCATTATCATATTATTTATATTATATTGATTAATATTAGATTATTTTAACAATTTGATCTATTTTAAAATTAAAGAAAATTTAATAAAATTATGAATCATTTTTATTAAGAAATTTATTAAAATAAACAAAATTTTTAAGCATCAAAAAGTATGGTTATCTTTTTCAACGTTGAACTGTCTTTTCGTGTTTCATGTTTCCTATTTAAATAATTTGTATCGAAATTAGTATACAATTCTAAAAGTGATTGAAATATTATATTTCGAGAAATATTAAAATATTAAAAAGAAATGTATAATATAATATTAATAATTTTATAAAATAATAATTAATTTGTTTTCCTTTTTAAAATAGAAGATTAAAATATATTAAATTTATAAAACGATTTTACGTGAAATCAATTTTTTTTCAGAAATTCGAGATTCTCTTTTTTTTTTATCGCCTTTCTTATAAATAACATTGTTGACGCATCTGCAAAGTACGATTAAATGTTTCTGTTATCAAGGTTGCTCATAGTAAATAGTGAATTATCTCGGGGGTGTCAGGTGCTAGTTCAATCTGAACCATTCGCAATTCAATTGCACTATTCGTTCTCAACCTGGTAACCGAGTGCGATTGTCGATTTGCAATTTGCTTCGTGTCCTATCTTTATTGCAATTTTCTTTTACGAAATAATAAATATTATCGCTTTGATACATATTAATCGATATTTCACATAAAAAAAAGAAATTTATTGAAATTATGTTCATTACATAATCATAATTACTATTATTATAATTAATTGATAATATATTATTATTATTATTATTATTTCGAATAAAAAATATATTTATGTAAACATTTAAATTGTAGAAATTAAAGAAAATGTAATTATGTAATATGACATTTTTTTTCTTCTTATCTAAATTATTTAGATATTATTATTCTAAATATTCAGATATTACATATATAAATATATGTGACATTGAAAAATATAATATACAATGATATAATTTTTTATTTAATTGATTTTTTATATTTTCTAATAATATGTATTTAATTATTTCAGACTATCTCCATTTCAATGTTACTACGGTACTCGCACCACCAGATTTTTGTCTTCATTGGTAAGTGATTGTATTTATAATCGTACTATATAAAAATCACTGATTGTGCTTGTTTTTATAATGTCGTTTTTTTATTATAAATGGTTATATATATATTTACAATATATATTTACAAATTTTGATAGAATTATAAAAATTTATATATAAATTTTATTCATATTCAGATTTTCACAAGAAAATTTTGAATTTGAATATTTTTAAATTTTAAACTATTTCAGACTATTTATTTGTAACAAAATTATTATAATTCATCTATCAATAATATAAATATAATTTTTTTTTTATAAAATTACATAATATATAATTTTTATAAAATGTATGCATACAATTATAAAAAAAAATATTGAATTGCATTATTTTCGATTTATATCACTGAATCGTTTATACGATATTTAAGAATCAAATAATTAATTACAAATTAAAGAAACTTTGTTTAAAGTTACATATTATTTTTCTTTCAACGATTAATCTTCGATTCGATCTGTGATACGAAAAGAGGCAAATGCCCTCTATATCTGATAATTCCACATGACAGAATTAATTGATTTCCGTATCTGTAGCCTTTATAAAATTCAAGCTGATATTGTTTCTAAAAATCATTTATCTGTAAAAGGAAATCTTATAATGCACGTTATCTGAAAATCTGAGGTCAACACCCTCTTATCCGGAATAGTTCTCCTGCAAAATTTTTGCTCTCCCTCCTTGTCCATTTCCATTATATAGGAGAATTTGTTACCATTCACGACATTCTTTGAACAGTCAGTTTCTAACGTGTCTTCGTAACAATGTCACATTTGACTGCTTTCGAGTTACTCTTTACTACTTTGATCTTCATCATCTTGGCCAAGCTTACTTCAATACTGTACACACAGTTCACTTATTGGAAGAGGAACAAAGTTCCGTACGTACGGTCAAGTCCTTTATTTGGAACCGCTTGGAGAGTGTTCTTTCGCCTCGTCAGTTTCCCCAATTACTGTAAATATATTTACAATTATCACCCGGATGCGAGATACGTCGGAGTGATGGATTTCGCCACGCCGACCGTGATCGTGCGCGATCCAAAACTGATCAAAGAGATAGCCGTGAAGAATTTCGACAATTTCCCGGATCATCGAAGCTTCGTCACCGAGGAGATGGATCCTGTATTCGGGAAGAACGTGTTCTCATTGAAGGGTGACCGATGGAGGGAGATGAGGAACACACTCAGCCCCTCGTTCACGGCCAACAAGATGAGATTCATGTTCGATCTCGTGTCCAAGTGTTCCCGCGATTTTGTCTCGTGTTTGCACGATCGTTTGGAATTTTCCTCCGAGATCGAGGCGAAGAACGTGTTCACCAGATACTCGAACGACGTGATCGCCACGGTTGCCTTCGGCATAACCGTCAACTCGGTCGAGGATCCGGACAACGAGTTCTACAAGAGGGGTATCGATGTATCCACGTTCTCCGGCACGTTTCGTTTCATAAAATTCATGCTGTTCCGTTTGAACCCGCGTCTAACGAGGATGGCAGGCCTCACGTTCCTGTCCCGCGCCACGTCCAAATTCTTCTGGAGAGTGATCTCTGAAACGGTGACCGCTAGGAAGAGACGCGGCATCGTCAGACCGGACATGATACACCTCCTGATGCGGGCGACCGATTCCAAGAAGAAATCCACCCACGAGATGACCATCGATGACATCGTGGCGCAGGCGTTCATCTTCTTCCTGGCCGGTTTCGACACAACTTCCACCCTGATGTGTTACGTGGTCTACGAGCTTGCCCTGCACCAGGACGTTCAACGGAGGCTGCGCGAGGAAGTGGACCGCCTGTTGGACGATGGGATGGAAATCTCTTACGAGGACACGTTGGGAATGGAATACATGGAGATGGTGATATCAGAGACCCTTAGGATGCATCCACCGACGTTGTTAATCGACAGACAATGCGCCAAGGAGTTCCATTTGCCTCCAGCTGGTCCAGGCTACGAAGGTGTTACGATACATCCCGGTGAAAATATTTGGTTCCCCGTTTTCGCGATCCATCGTGATCCCGCGCATTTCCCCGATCCGGACAGGTTCGATCCCGAACGATTCAATCGTGAGAATAAGAATGGCGTCGATCCTTACGCGTACATACCTTTCGGGGTTGGCCCCAGAAAGTGCATTGGCAATCGTTTCGCGTTGATGGAAACCAAACTTTTGATCGTTCATCTATTGCGAAAGTTCGTTATAAAGCCTGGCGAGAAAACCAAGCATCCCATTGTGTATAAGAAGGCTGATTTCACATTGATGCCGAAAGATGGCTTTTGGATCACTTTTGAGAAGAGAAACAATTAAACTTACCTTCTTTTATTACGTTATTTATAACATCGAGGTACGCTTGATGGCGAAGGATAATTCGATAAAGATAAGTTGTATTTCTGGTAAAGTTTAATCTAAATTCTAATTTTAATTTCAATTTTTTGAAACTAAAAATCGAAAGGGGGAGGATATAATAGGAGGAGGATGTTTATAAATTATTCGTACAATATCTTGATAAAAAAGATGAATTAATTATATATTTAATCATATACATTGTTATTGCAATAAATAGGTATAAATTATTAAATCTTACAACGTTTCATCAACAATTATTACACCAAAAATCGATCTAAAAGATATTGTTATCTTTTAGAAATCTTATCACGTGTCATAATATTCTACTATAAATAATTGCAATGATAATACATTTTTAAATCATCGTAATCTTTAATCAATAAAATTTTTTCTTCGTCGAAATTATTTCCCGTTACAAGCAAATATACTCTCGCATCTATACTTTTGATTGATAATAATTTTTCCTTTTAATTAAAAAAAAATTGAAAAATTATTACGAAATTATCATGCAAATTGATATTTGCATCACTCGATGCACTTTCACTCGAAATCCTTATAGAAACATCGAAATATTCGGGACACGATCCCGTCGCATTAATAAAACGAAATTGAATCGATGTTCGGCCAAAGAAAAAAAAAAAAAAAAAAAAAAAAAAAAAGAAAAGAAGAAAAGAAAAGAAAAGAAAAAAATCGTCCGTGGAAAGAGTTCATTGTACGCTTGTCCCATTTTTTGATCGGGGCATCGAGTTTCTTAAAATTGCTCGTGCATACCCAATAGCGTATCACGAGAAGAGAAGAGGAGCAACGTGATAATGACACCATTCCCTCTACCGCAACGATAAACTCTGTACACATTGCTCGGCTCATATTTATAACCTTGTAGCTCACGCACGATAGTCATTTGCGGTTGAGAGTGCGATGGAGATTCTATCGACCTCGTCAGTGTTTACATTAACGGTGATCGCTTTGATCACCGTGATTTTATCGAAGTTCTTCCCAGGCAACAGACGTATTGGAAGAACAATAACGTGGCTCGCATCAGACTCGTTCCGATTCAGACTTGGCCCATTTTGGAAATTCTTCATCCTGAAAGAATATTAGTTGGTCCAGTTCTGCCGTTTCTGTCCACAGAAGTATAATTATCATCCAAACGCGCGAGATATCGTTGGAACGATGGATTTCACTTTGCCGTGAATCCGTCAATTAATCTTGGAGATAGCTTCGATCGTTTCACCGATCATAGATCTTCGACGAGGAACATATTTTTTTTCTGAGAGGCGAAGAAGATGAGGAACATTCTCTCTCTCCTTTACAATCAGCAAAATGAGATCGACGTTCGAAATTGCTCGCGACAGTTTGTGGATTATTTGCATTCCGAATATATACTCCTCGATGGACACGAAAGAAAGGGTTCAACAACGACGTGATCTCGTCTATCGCCTTTTGAATTCGATGGAAGACAGAGACAACGAGCTCTTCACGAGAGAAAGAAATATTTTTGCCAATCTTATGAATATTACGATTAAATTTTTATGCGACTTTGTGTCCACGATTAATGAAAGGTATTAGGAATCAGAGTGATTCGTAAAATCACGACGTCATCGACTTTCTTCGTCGTGTTGTATCTGGGAATTTAAAGGAAACGCGAGGAACGAGGCATCGTTAGACCGGATATACTGCATTTATTGCTAGAAATAAAGAGAAGTCTACCATCGATAAAATGACTATGGACGATATCGTTTCTCGAACGATTGGTTTCTATACGGATGGCTTTCGCCTTCTAATTTCATGCGTTTCGTTTTATACGAGCCGATCCTGCATTTGGATGTTCAGGAAAGATTACAGAAAGAGATAGATCGATGAAATTTCTTAGGAATCCTCTGTCGAGGATGGAGTATATGGGGATGGTGATGAACCCTTAGAAAGTACCCCGGTTTGATTTTCGTCGATCGAGTTTGCACGCGAAAATTTGCACCAGAGGCTGGATACGATGATGCAACTTTATATCCCGGCGATATCGTTTTTCCCTTTTATATTGGATCATGATCCTAAATATTTTCTCGAGTTGATGAGCTTGGATTTTACGAAGAGAACAAGGGTAACATCGTCCCTTACACGTATCGTTGGAAATCAAGATTTTGATGGTTTTGCGTCGATTTTCGATCAGACTTAACGAGAAGACGCCAGAAACTTATCGTTTTTTAGAGAAATAATCTTGTACTCTTGAAGGAGGAATCTGGATTAGATTGGGTGAAAGGAGAGACTTTAGATACTTTGATTAGAAAAAAAAAATTTCGTACATTATTTTGCAAGGAGATTTATATAGACCAAAGATTTTTGATTTTAATGAAAGTTTAGTGTGAATAATATATAGTGTATATGTAAAGTATAATTGATCGTATATATAGGAAGTATATAGTTTTTTCTATTAAGATGGGAAATCTTTTTGAGAAAGTGAAATCAATTTTTTCAAAGTATATTTTTTCATTTCTTGAATACGATTTTTCTTGAAAATTTGTTTTTTTACAATAGTGTGCAATAATTTATTTTGCTTTATTTTTAATTATCGTTAAAGAGTATTTTTTTAAATAACTGGAAAAGTCATTTTCCAAAACTTTGAATGTCGATTTCACTTTCTTCAGGTAATATTCTGCCGAAAAGATAAATATTTTCGAATAAAATTTCAAATATTTTCCATTATCCGACACGTATATATTTTACACGTATAGATATTTCTAATTTTACAAAAAAAAAAGGGGGGAACAAAATTAGCAAGAATTTATCTATAATATCTAGTGATGGTGGGGAATCTTTCGTTATTTCGAATTGCGGTTTACGAGGAAAAAACTCGCCGTACGAAAAATCAAACGCGTAACAACAGGAGAATTTCGAAACGGTATTGTGCAGTTGCCGATTTAATTCCTCTTTAATTCCCGCTTTTTATCCCTCTTTTTTCTCTTCTCTCCTTTCTTTTTTTCTTTCTTTCTTTCTTTTTTTTTTGTTGTATTATTCTCACCCGCGCGGATCAGAATCGACAATTGCTACAAAACGATATTTTCAGAATATCGAGACGAGGAAGAACGCAGTTTGTTCACGTGGTTGACGTAACACAGGCATTCTACCCCCCCTCTCCATCCTCTGTCCCTCGTGCAACGATAAATCCGTATATGTATTCGTCCATATTTATAACATTCCTCCTAGTCACTAGAGACAGAGTACGCTCGTGAACCATCCTTGGTGGCCGATGGAGTCACCGACGTTCCTTTTTTCGTTCAAGTTGTTGGCCATCGGCCTCACGGCGATCGTCCTCGCCAAATTCGTCATTTTATTGCACCATCAGTACAATTATTGGAGAAAGAGGCGGGTTCCCCATGTAGGGGCCGTGCCCGTCCTCGGCTCATCGTGGAGGATATTCACGCGCCGCATGTCCCTTCCCAATTTCTGTTCGCTCGTTTACAAACATCGACCGAGCTCCAGGTACCTCGGCATGATGGACTGTTTCACGCCAGTTGTTGTGGTTCGCGACCCGGACCTGATCAAAGAGATAGCCGTGAAGAATTTCGACCATTTCCCCGATCATCACAGTTTCATCAACGAGAAGATAGACCCTATATTCGGGAAGAACGTGTTCTCATTGAAGGGTGACCGATGGAGGGAGATGAGGAACACACTGAGCCCCTCGTTCACGGCCAGCAAGATGAGATTCATGTTCGAGCTCGTGTCCAATTGTTCCGAGGAGTTCGTCCGTTATCTTTACGATCATCCCGAGTTCTCGAGCTCGATAGAGGCGAAGGACGCGTTCACGAGGTACACCAACGACGTGATAGCGACCGTAGCTTTCGGTATAAGCGTCAACTCGATGGAGAATCGGGAGAACGAGTTTTACGTGAAAGGAGCGGACGCGACCAATTTCGGCGGTATATTTCGATTGTTCAAGTTCATGCTGTTCCGTATGAATCCACGTTTGACGAGGATGGCGGGATTGTCGTTCCTTTCACGGGACACCGCCACCTTCTTCCACAGAGTGGTACGCGAGACCGTGAGAGCGAGGGACGAGAGGAGGATAGTCCGGCCGGACATGATTCACCTTTTGATGCAGGCTAGGGACAAGGATAGGCGGCCCGCAGCCACGAATAATCGGATGACCATCGATGACATCACGGCCCAGGCGTTCATCTTTTTCCTCGCCGGTTTCGACACGTCCTCCACTCTAATGTGCTACGTTGCCCACGAGCTGGCGCTTAACCCGCCCGTTCAGGAGAGATTGAGGGAAGAGGTGGATCGTTTCATGGACGGGGGGAACGGGATGATCACGTACGAGGCACTGTTGAAAATGGAGTACATGGATATGGTCACGTCTGAGACATTGCGAAAATATCCACCGATAGTTTTCATAGACAGGCTGTGCGTGGAGAAGTTCGAATTGCCCCCGGCTGAGCAAGGTTACGATCATTTAATCGTGCATCCGGACAATATCGTTTGGTTCCCTGTTTACGGCCTGCATCACGATCCAAAGTATTTCCCCGAGCCGGAGAAATTCGATCCGGAACGTTTCAACGACGCGAACAAGCGCAACATCGTCCCGTATACGTATATGCCGTTCGGCCTCGGACCCCGGAAATGTATCGGCAATCGTTTCGCGTTGATGGAAACGAAGATTCTGATCGCTTACATGCTGCGCAAATTCCGTATCAAACGGACGGAGAAGACGAGAGCGTCGATCGAGTTCAGCAAGACGAATTTCTCGTTAACTCCTGATCACGGATTTTGGATCGGTTTGGAGAAGAGGGATCCTTAGACTTTTTTCTTTTTTCTTTTTCTTTTTTTTTCTCTCTCTCTCTCTCCTTTCTTTCCTTTTTTTCTTTTTATTAATTTCGTGATATGGGTAGCAGTTAAGT